GTGCGCTGTGCAGAAACATCACAGTAAGATTTAACTGAAAGCAAAGAATGTGAACAAAAATTGAACCTTTTAAATTTACATTAAGGTTAAATTAAAAGCCAATTGTACTTGTCATATCATAAAGAAATGGCTCTTTCATTTGAATATTGTGCCTTTGTTTTGCAAAGTCATACCTGCAAAACTTCAGCTCGTGGGACAATATAGAGTCTGCTTTTGCCAACTGCTTTTTTTAAATCCCTCATAGAATTTGCATGAACTTTTTGGATCTTGCGTCCTTTGCCTGCTCTTGCCAAATGGAAACCTATCAAGTTCAAACTCACATTTGGGTAGCACTGGCAGACAAAGTTATTTAATTCAGACAGAGTCCAATTTAGTGGAATTTTTGATCTTTGGGTTCCTGTCCCAGATGTTTCCTGCACTGGTCTACCTACAAAATTTAATGTACGTATTAACAACATAAAACAAACAAACAGAGCTCATCAATTGATCATACACTGTATGCAATACCTGAGGTTATGTAAAATGCAGATCACTATCAACAATAAAAACATTTGCTGCTACAGAGTTTTTCCTGCATTCAAAATATTTTTTGTCCTTTTAATAGCTGACTGGTTTCAAAAGCCGCATTAAGATTTGTAGACATTCACGGACATATCTGTTGAGTGCATGAACACAATGCCTTTGTGTACCTCACGCTGAATTTAAGTAATAAACAGCTTTTGTGATTATAATGCCACTGTCACAACAGTGATTATTTTTTATTTCATGAATATACAGAATAAATTATTATTACAAATGGTTTCTTTCCTTATATTTTGGAATTGCTAGCCCAGTAGCTATTTTTAGCCCAGGAAAAACCCTGTTTTATCTTTGACATCCTTATGTATCAACTATACATTTACCTAAACCCAAGTTTGCAAACCCTTCAAGCTCTGTTGTAGAGGGTAAAACCTCAATATCTGGGCCAGGGAGGAGGAAAAGGTGGGTCTGCCAGACAGCATTTTCCTGCCTCCCCGGTGTTCCTGGCATACATACAGAAGTACAAAGTTAACTAAAATCATGAGCACTGGTAGTTAACTAATATCATAGTCACTGTTTAATTATGCTAATACTAACATAGCACACCCCAACTTACTGCGAATTTGATTCACCTGACGCCGGAAAAGGCGTCTAGTTGAAGAAAGTAGGTCATCATTATTGTTATTTGAAAGCTCTCGTCTGGCTCTTGAAATTGTATTGAAAACTCTGTCAAATATCGCTGACGGAGGTTCTTGCTCTGATGACATGGTAAGCTGTCTTGTTGGCTGAGAGAAAACTGAGAGAAACATTACATGCGTTATCAAATCTACTTAACAAAATAACAGTATAGGACAAACAATTATTAAAACTTGCCATCATGTATTTCAGTCTGACAACAGATATTATCCTAGGCAGTCCGTTAAATAAAGTAATAAAACTATTCACGTATGCAGGATAGTTTTGTTTTGTGTACTAATGCAATACACCAAAAGATGCAGAAACCTGTTCACAGAACAATTAAAGAAAAAGAAAAAAAAAATTTAAATCACATAGATTTGTTGGATAGACATGAGCAGAATTTTATCAAACTAAAGAATTGTTATAGGTTTCATGAATTATTCTTTAACAAAATTTAGACTGGACTAAATGACTATAGGTTAGTCTCCCTAAAATTAGTTTTCATAAATACCTATGGAAACAATCACTGATTCCTGGTGTTAACAACTTAACTATAAATGACAGGTAATTGAGCCCTTAACTATTTTTTTACTCCGTATTGTTTGGTTAAAGGGATCTTGCTGATTTAAAGAACAGTTGATCTTTAGGAATGCCAGGATCTTTTCTTTGGTTTATCTGCTCGCAACAATGCCACAATTTCATAACTAAAGAGAAGTAAAAATCATATACATAAACGTGAAAGCAAACAGGGCGATGTAGCCAGACAGGATAGCGTTTTTAAAAAGAGAATTTACTCATTATAAATACTAGGGCTGTGTATCACCAGCAAAGTCACGATACAATACGTATCACGATACAGAGGCCACGATACGATACGTATCATGATACATGACTGCACTGAATTTCACCTCAGCAGAATTTAGAAAAACAGCTGTTTATTAAACTGCTTACTATAGTGCCATTTCTAACTATTGGCAGAGCAGGCAGTTGACCTCTGCATTATGAAGGGCCTCTATAATTGTACCACAGTAGGTAATTGCATATGTTTCATGTTTACATTGTGCACTCCCCACCAGGTACAATTAGAAGAGTTCTAAACTAACGAGCTGTCTTCACTGTATCTAACGCACACACGCGCTCAAGTCTGATTTATTCTTGATGCGTCCACAAGTTCGCTTTGAGTGCGCGTGGCGGTGTGGACAACACTTTTTGTAACGTTCCGCGCAGCTCCGCTTCCGAAGATGCACGAGTTCAAAGCGACTCTAGCCGAACATGCACGTCTGTGCCAGCATTTGTGTGAAACAGAAGCAGTTTGATGTTAAGTTCAGTCACACACACAGATCACGCTGCGGCCGAAATCAGACATTCAGGAACAAACTTTTTAGCGCTGCCCCGCATTTTGATCAACTAACGTTAAATAGTCACACTTTTCTGAGACTAGATTATTGAAGTGGAGATCGCTAAACTGCAAGCTTACCGCTGTTTTCAGAAAGCAAGCGCGTTTATCCTCAGTGGAGAGAGAGCACAGGGTTGCCAGGTTGACAAAGATAAGTAACACACTTAGTATGGCAGATATTTCCGTATTGCGCAAGTGAGACTCTGTTTCGGGGATTACGCCTCTGTATATCAGGCAACCCAGTTGTGTTCCTCTGCGGCCAGAATAAACATGGTTGTAACATTATCCTATAGCATATATGCTCTATTCATTCTTTTTTAGAAACCTGGCAATTTTCGACTCCATTTTAAACGTTGTAAAATTTTAAACAAATTAAGCGCGGTCCACCGCTGCACACTTGCCACAGTATCGATACAGGGCCAGCTGTATCTATACTCGATACATCGTCGTATCTTTGAACACAGCACTAATAAATACATAAAATATCCCATTTACATTACTACTTGCACTCAGAACCTTTAAAGACATTTCCAATTACTTTTAATGGCTTAATGAAAAGAACGGAATCCTAACAACTGTATTAGCGACAATTTTTCATGCAATGTACATGAAAAATTATGGATGAACATTAATTCATAACCTACAATTACATTAGAAAACCAGTCACTTCCTGATATATTAATTTGATCTTATAAGTTATATAACTACATCATTCTTACAACAGCAATTATGACAAACTTAAAAAAAAAATTGTAAATTACTTCGGGCTAGGATAATCCAGCAGCAAAACAAAAAGCTAGCATTCTGACAAATATAGGTAGGCCTAATATTACCTCTCAGACAACCTGGGAGTTCATTGACATTAACGCAAAACAGGCCCATGATTTGCGTTAGCAAATAATACAGTTATAATCCAAGTGTTAATAACCTACACAATTATTGTTAGAGTAATTTTCTTACCTGAAAAAGATCAATCCAGAGTCTGAGCGTCGTCAGACTTTTTTGGCGCGCTCCTGAAACCGGTGTGTTTTGAAATGACATATGCCTATTGGTTGGCAAGAAAGAAAAGGCGGGGATTAGCAAAGATTTGAATACACTATTAAGATATCTTCTTTTTTTTTTGACTAGGCAGAATGTTTATTCAAGATATCTCTATTGAGATTTGAGCAGTTGAGATAAATCAGGCAGGTTATTTGTGAATCTGTCTTTGGTGGCTGGAACAATAGAGCATTTTTACAACCCAGCATTTTTAGAGCGAGTCATTTGTGGTACTGTGCAAGCTAAATCTGATACCATCACTGTACCATGGAACTACCACAACATACAGCGGAATTCACATCACTTGCGGGAGAAGCCGCGGGGGGGCGGAACGGACATGTGCGCGGGTTCGATGACGTCATGGACGGGGGGCGCGGGGGGAGTAAATGGAAATGTTAACGGTCTCTTCATACGCCAGCGCCGCTCAAGCGTATCGCCTCCCTCTGCTTTTCAAAGACTTCGGTAAGTGTGGATGAGTTTTTACCTTGTAGAAATCACCAAGATCTCTGTAAGACTGTTCATGACCTGTGAGGCGAGCTGTTGCCTTAAAATCGTAAGATAATCTCACTCAGCTAGTTTTATATGTGATTGGATGTTTTTATTAATATTATTATTGGGCACTGTGTTACAAGTGCTGATAGTATAATTGGTGGTTTAACGTTCTTTTGTGCGTTTGCGTAACGATCTGAATGATGGCAATGGTAGACAACTAACTTAGATATTAACTTTTATAAACATTACGATTTTAGTTTCAAATGTGTATTTACATGTCTAAACACATGCAGTATGTTAACTGTAACTGTTTAGATGTTGTAACTGACACTATTTATTTTTCATATTATTATTGCTGTTAATTATTAGTAGCCTATATATATAGCAGTTAAATTAAATAATGTTTGTGACAAAATGTATTAAAGTACAAATATTCCATGTAACTTAGTCAGTCAATTGTTAAGTATGAAGTCAGTTCTCCTCAAGTTGTTTTAACGGGAAACAGGTGTAATCACAACTATCACAACCATTAACCACAAACAAACACAAATGATTAGGTCATTTAAATTAAACTGAAAATTATGTATTTACACATTTCTCCCAAAATAGGTGTTTTGAAGAATATGTATGCATATTTAAATTTCTTAAAAACATATTT